TCTTCGTTGTTAATTGCGGTTACTCTCTTATTTTATGGCCTAGAGATGTTCCATTAATATATTTTGTCCGCCGCGTTTATGAACATGAACGCGAAAGGCACTGAACAGGCTTTTAATATGTGTTATTTCGTTGCTGTGCAACTGCAAGCTCATTTCCCGGATTTGTCGTTGTAGACGGAACACACCGTTCATGCAGCAGACCCTCCACAAGGCCAAAATTGACATAGCACACGTTATTTGGGGGCTTCTTAATGTATGCTCGCAGCGTTTGCAAAAGTGTCCTGGGATCCCTCCACAATTCCCGGTGGAAGGGCCGCAACGTATTAAATTATTTCCTGGTAGTGATAAGGGTGTATTTGCGTATGTCAGCAGACTTCATCAACGAAGCCTTTAACTGCGTTTTTGCTCTACACCTCTTCTGCGAACATTATATCAATCATTCGTTTAGATACCGAGAATACCTATCGGACATAATTTTATGGGAAAGAACAGGCATTTCCGTTTCTGTGGATTGATCGGAAGCAATAGGCCGCAATAGGACTTAGGTACTTTATACTGATTCCTCAACAACCTCATACCATGCCCTCATACGTTGCTTAATAGTCCTTATATTGTGCTTCGATCGTATCCAGAGCAAGAACGCTTCATATTTACTCACAATAAATAGTAAACAACAACACACTAAGGCTATTGTTGAACGTCCAATAACAAGTCTACTACGAGAAATAGTCAACTTTTGCTGTAATATATGCACGTCAAGGAGACAATTAAATATCTCACTGACTGAAACATGAAAGTCGTCTCGATCAGATTATGCTTTGGTCCCAGTACACGGTTTGAGAAGAAAGGTATTCTCGCATACAATCCCTTTTGTGACACACGAAGGTTGGAGAGATGCTCCCGGAGATTGGTTGTATTGGTGAATTAGCGGAAACTCTTGCACACGGAGATACTCATAGAAAGGCATTCATTTATTGAGCAGCTCTCAAATGCACTAACTCTCATTTGGCGTTCAACCTTGAGTATAGTTGTTTTTCCAGTCAAAGATAGCGCCCGCGTTTGATAATCCGGCTGCATTTGTCCTCATAATTCGGCTCATCGCTTGTTGCTGCCAGGTTTAGTGGCGTTTCTCTGCGATTTCCGTCATGGGTTTATCGGAGCTGTTATCTACAGTTCCTGAAATCAAAATTAATGTAATTGTAAACGTTGTTGTTTATTTCGTGTAGGAATCTTTGTGGGCCCAGATAACAAGCAAAGATTTGATCACTGGGCCGTTCGACTATCAAAAATCGTGCACTTACCAAAAGTTCATTGAAGCACTGCACTTACCGAAGATTGATGTAGGTTCCCTCACCTATGAGAAATTTTTCTTAAGGCGAACTCGAGCGAACTTATTGAACCTGCTGACGACGATGAACTAGCTAAAGCACTTGATCACCATTCAATAGTTACATCTCAGCTGCCCGATACACAAGATGACCATTTTCAGACGGCTGATGAAATTATAGAGGAATTAGACCGAATGATGGTCGACGACACTCTGGAACCGGATCTTGATCTCGACTTCGTCGGATCTCATGCTTATGACGAGGAGGCGTCTGCATACGTATGGAAACCTGTTGAAGGTGAGCTTTTATTATCGCATAACGGTGATCGCTTTTTTTCCACAAAAAGTTTTTTATGCATTTTCGCCCCATGTACAAGCGCAGCTAAAGGAACGTTACCAACGTAGTTTTTGATTTGTTCCCTCCCTTTAGAAAGTTACCAACGAAACCGATTATACTTAGCTTTCTGTACAATTTTGTCAGTATTTTGTTCCGCATATCAACGAACGTGACATCAGGTCATCACATGTTCTTCTGGTGACAGCTGGTCGTCGACTTGCGAATTCTAAATCCGAGATTTGTGGAAAAGTCGAAGGTTAATACTAAATGCATTATATTTTCGGATGGAAAAGGTTTTTATTAGTATTAGGGCAACTTAAAGATAAGACACAACTGACACCACTATCTTGCGGTTATGTCCCAAAGAAGCCAACTCCCTAAAAGATAAGCTCTCGGACAATATGAATTTGCGGTTTTTTTTAAACAAACTGGTGACTTATCCTTGACAGTTCGTTGTACTTGATGTGCTGCACACTCTTCTTCTAACAATGCTCACAAACAAGACGCGAGCTGGTCTATCAAACGAAAGAAGTATTTTGACAGCCGTTACTGCAACTTGCTCAATTTTCTCTCAATTATGCGTTGATAGTCTAGCAGTCCGTTGTTTCCACTGCTGACATGTGTATGTTTGTTTGCTAGAAGTTTGTTTTGGGTTTGACTTAGCAGTCTTCTGTATCAATTAACATGGAAGCATTATTCAAGGCATTATTCCCGACGGAAGAACTCTCTTCCAGAATTTCTTAACTTAACCAATGACTGGCGTATATTTGTTTAAAGGCAGTCTCATGCAGTGGGTCGGACTATGTGTGCCGCCTACTTTGACCGTCGATAAAAGAACATAAGTTCTCTCAAAGGCTGTTCAATACATGGAGCGAAATTACAGTGTATCTGTGAGACGAATCCTTAGCTAGCACGTTTAAAGCCTTTTAGCAAGCGCTGAACGACTTGTCAATTTCTTTGTGCCAAACTGTTTGGTCGTTGCAAATCCTCGCTTCCCACCCGTTAAGAAACATCTAGTTACCCGGTA